CTCTCATCCACTCCAAAATTCTACGCTCAAAAAAATCAAGAAACGCTAAGGCTAGGATTCATCTTTCAAGATTTTCCTTCAATTTGCTTCAAGAAGATGATTCTTTCAGGTATGTAAGCTTCCATAGTGTTGAGTTTGTTCACCCACACGCCAATCATTTTAATTTCAGCTTTAAATTTGTTCTAAAAGTTGAAGCTTTGATGTTCTTGTTATGTATTCATGAATTTGCTTTTGTTCTTGAATTGGGCTGAGATTGAGGAGTTCTTGAGGTGATTTATAGAGGGGTTAGAGTTAAATTCTAGTGTACATGTGCTGGGTATCTAAATCTAATGAGAGATTGAGAAAAAGAATCGAATTTAGGCGAATTGGGGTTAGAAAACGAAGAAGAAATTTCGTCGAACGAAATTTAAAATTGGTCGCGCGCCTAGTGCCCAGATTCGAAATTTCAACTTCGTGTCGCGGAGCTGACACGAGGTGTTCTGCCTCAAAAAACATTTTCGAAACCAAATTTTAAAAGCCTCTCCGCATTGCAGACCCACTCTCAAATATTGGTTTTCAGTCTTTTCTCATGTTTAGCTATCTAAAATCATTCATAAACATCATGAGACCTTTCCTATCACAAATCACAACCTTGAATTCATAAATCACATTCAAGGTAGAGTTGAGAGTCAAGTCTTGAGAATTCTTTCGAACATTTTTTAGAAAATCCCTTTTTGTCTTTTTGAGGAGTCTTCTACAAATTCTAATAACTTGTTTCAAGACTCGAGCAAGTGAGTATGAGAGTAAGAATAATGTATTCATGAGTCTACCTTGTCATCATGAGATCTTTCTTATCATGAACTATAACTCTTGAATTCATAATTCACATTCAAGAGAGAGTTTAAAAGAAGAGTTCAAGAAAGCCTTTGAGTTCAATTGTGAATCCTTTGAGATCAACTATCGATTTGAACTAAGTTTTGAGGAAGTAAGTTAGAGAATAAGAAGAGTCGTATACATGAGTTTCATATAGTTATGTAGATCATCGAGTGGAGTTGTTTCATGCCATAAATTTTCGTCATGAACTTCGTAAGTTGAGCATCTTTCAGAGAAATGGTATCTTCAAGTTCTAAGCCTTTAAGTGTTGAGTTCCTAAGCCCTTTTGAGAAGCATCTTTGAGTGCTTGAGTTGAATATTTCATGCCCATAATTCCGCATGAACACTATAAGTCGAAAAATCTTGAGATGAGTAGTATCATTGAAGTTCTTGAGTTCCAAATATTGAGTTCTATCTATGGTTATTGAAAACCTTGCAGCAAGTCGTTCATGTCCATCATTCGGCATGAACCATATTTTAAGAAGTCTTTTATAAATGTTTAAACTTTGTTTTAAGACTTAAGCTTTGAAGTTGAGTAAAGAGTAAAGAGTAAAGCTTGAAGTTCATTTCTTCAAAAGTATATGGGAACTAAGTATTCCCAAAGAGTTTATAAATGTTTTCACATTTGAGCAAGAAAAGGGAACATCGATTCCAAAAGAGCTTTTAAGCTAATTTTTAAGTAATTATCTCAAACCAAAGAAAGAAGTTGTTTTAAAACATATGAGCTAAGTATATTTTGGGAGTAGTATTGAGCACCGATATGGGGATGCAAGTTCATATTAACTCAAGCCCCATAAACCATGTTGCCATCATGGGTAGAAAAGGGTCATACTTTTTAGATGATTCCTTTAGTGTTTTTTAGCATAGACTAGTGGATCCACTTAGTGAGTTAGGTTCTATACCCCCGGCAAGGTATATGACGGTCCTTGGTAGCGTGAGGTAAGAGGTTGTATCACCACTTAGGCTCATAGTGGTGGTTGTCGGTTAGAGAAACTCCAACAGAAACTATATTACTTTATTATATAAGTAAAGTTGAGTTTGTTATTGCATTTTCTTTAACGAACTAAGATGTTTTTACTATTTTATAAAGCTTTCCATATATTGCATGTGTATTGTTGCTTTATATTGAGTTGAGTATTCAGAGTTGAGTACCCAAAGTCAAATATCATATCTTTGAAGTTGAGTATCTAATCTCTGAGTTGAGTACCTTATCCTTGAGTACTTCTGAGTTGAGTAAGTTGAGTAGTTTTGAGTATCCTTGAGTATTCCTTGAGTTGAGTAAGTTTGAGAAGAGGTAAGTATGTTTCCTTTTTATCAAGTTTCAAGCTTATGTTTATGTTTTAGAATTCCCCTTACATGCTCGTATATTCCACGTACTGAGTCATTTGGCCTGCATCTTTTCATGATGCAAACACAGGTATTCGGGATCATCAACAAGAGATTCGTTGATATATCCGAGAGTTCGAGTTAGCTATGGTGAGCCTCCTTATTTCCGGAGGATTTCATTTACTTTTCAGTTTAGTCAGGATGTCGTGGGTCTTGTCCTGACTTCCATCTTTATCAGTTAGAGGCTTCATAAATAGTCAGTATAGTTGAGAAGTTTGTATTATTCATTTATTTTATTAAATGTTTTAAAGACTTAAGTTGCCTATTTTATGGCGAGTCGAATATATTATTTTTATTCTAAGTTGTTCATTTGAGTTAAAGTTTTGAAAAATTGATTTTATTGAGTTTTATTCAGTTTTAAGCTTTTGCATGCTTAAGTTAGTTTTCCGCTTGTATTCAGTCAGGATGAGGGTTCGCTTGGGGACCAACAATGGTTCTTAAGTGCCGGCAACGTCCAGGGTTTAGACTCGGGTCGTGACAATGCGGAAACTAGCAAAGAAAACCTCGAAAGACCACGAGTAAGAAGACAAATGAGAAATATACCAAAAAACACAAAGATTTAACGTGGTTCAGTCAATCGGCCTACATCCACAAAGGAGATGAGCAATCCACTATAAATATGAGAGTACAAAATATAGAGAGAAACAACCTCAATCAATTCACTCGGAATACATGGGATGTGTTAGGGTATATACTATTAATCATGTGTTTAGACATAGTATTCTAACAATTTTCAAGATTAAATATCTAAGTGGGAGATTGTTAGGGTATATACTATTAACCATGCATTTAGATATAGTACATTATAACAATTGTGATGGTTAAAAGTCTAAGTAGGAGATTGTTGAGATATATACTATTAACCATGTGTTAAGAAATAATATTTATTATAGAATAAATATTTGCTCAATTTTAATAGATCATATATTCGTTTATGGTGTATGTTTACTTATATAGTAGATGATTTAGTGTGTAGAGTTTTAGCTTATACACAGAGGATTAAATCATCCGTTCTTATAAGTATAAAGTTTTTTGTTCACAATCTAGGATGGAAATTGGACATGCCATCGGTACGATTGTAGCACAAGATTATATGTAATTTATCTTGATTATGGGAACGGTATAGTTCCAACTTCTTGTGCTAGTGCATTTTGTATGTATTGAACGGGACCGAGTAGAGATAGTTGTTTTAGACTGGCTGACAAAAACATATTCTCTGAACTATTAAATGTACTTATATTCTTAATCCTGATATAACTATTATGATCTGAATAGATTAATTATAGTTTTGATTTATTAAAAGGTGAGATTTTGAGATGGGTCAATATGCCTGGTAAGTTGGATGATAACAATATATATTGGTGAAATAATAAGTTAGTTGATTGAATCCATGTCTCGTTATAGAGATTGATTGATATGCATTTTTGAGAAACTTATAAGTTTTCATCGTGTCAAACCTTGCAAGTGGATTTATGAATTCGACACATGAAATAAGTTAAGTAGTGCTCTAAAGGAAATTAATCATTAAGTTAAATTCGTCAGTAATTTAATTTATTGATTAGTATTTGAAATCTTAACATGGAGAATTACATAAGTGTTTAATGGGGAATTGCGAAATATAAATAGAGGAGTGCAATTACGAATTTCTAGTGGAATGATTTGTAATTTATTATGGTAAGAATAATTCAAATTAATTATTTGGAATTATTTCCATAATAGGAAGCCTCAGTAATTAATTATGTGGTCCCTCCAGTGTTCATATTTAACTAGCACTCAGAATCCTATTTCTTAGGGGGAAAAGGAGTAGGCGTGTGTGTTTTCTTGTTTTTCAAGAAAATTGGGTTTTCTTCTCCTTTTTGGATTGGGGAAGATATTTCTATAAATAAAGATTCTCCTAACCTAGAAAAAGATTGATTTGTTTTCTATTCGATACTTGCCCACCCAAGTATTGAGAGAGTTCAGATGTGAACTTGGATCATTGTAGAAGACCATAGCTGCTGTCTATCTTGTGGATTTGCTTGAAGGTCCGTCTAACTTAGGGATTCACTTGAAGGTATTTGCTCACGCTTCAAGAGGTATTTATCGAATTAAATTCAACAAGTTTATGTGTTCTAGCATGATTGTGTGTTCTAGCATAAACGATTTGGTTATCTATTATTCATGTAATTAGTAAGATTCTAGTATGTTTCCGTTGTGCATATAGTTTTCCAACAGGAGGTTCACACTAGTGATAACGTATCAAGCTTGTGTCACACAAATCCCCCCCCCCTTCCCCCCTCCCCCCTCCCCCTCCTAACCAAAACTCTCAAGCCCCTAGGACTGCATTGTGAATGTTGATTAAGTTAGAAGAAACATACCTCTATTTATAGAGTCCTAAACTTTTTCCTATCAGAAAAGAACTAACCAATCTTAAACCTTTCCTACCAGAAAAGGAGTAACCAATCCTAAACTTATTCCCAAAATGAAAACCTATTTATGGTAAGATATTCGGTGCAAATAAAATCCAACACTTATTGCAGTGTAAAACAAGTGATTAAATAAAAAGTATCTAAATCTATTATAGAGAAATATATTACTTTTATCCCGAATTTGTAATTATATAAGGTAATTATTTGGAAAAGAAGTAAAGAATTATTGTACGAGATAAGAAAATAAAAATAATAATATAATATTGAGATTTTTTATTTTTTTTGAAATATAAAACTGAGAATTGAATTAAAATTGATTGTAATATCTATATTTGAAAGTATGAGTAAAAGAAAAGTCTTGAAAAATGCAGGATTCACATTTGAAAACTTTGAAAGTGAACCGCGGCTACAGAAGAAGTAATAAATTATAGCCCCAAATTGAAACATTTCCACTCAAACTTCTTCTTTCATCTTTGTCTCTGTTTTCCAAGTCCCTTTCTTTCCCCATATCTCTTCTCTTGTCCCTCACTAAGCACACATAAAAAAAAATGGATTCTTCCTCCCCCATTTCTGTTAAAAAAGCTCTAAAATCCCAAGAATCAGCTCCACAATCTTCACCAAAGCCACAATCTTTGAAGAAAAGCTTTGTCACTTCTCTAATGGAAGCAACTACTTTACGCACCCCATCTTTTAAAGAAGACTCTTACTTCACTTCCCACCTTAAACCCTCTGAGAAGAAAGCATTACAAGAATTGAAAGACAAGCTTCAAGCTGCTGCTTCTTCTTCTTGTTGTTCCATGTGGGGTATTCCACTTTTAGGTGGAGATGAAAAGGCTGATGTCATTCTCTTGAAATTCCTCAGAGCAAGGGATTTTAAGGTTTCAGATTCACTTCATATGTTGGAAAAGTGTCTTTCTTGGAGGAAAGAGTTTGGTGCTGACACCATTTTGGAAGGAGATTTTTCAGGATTTAAAGAACTTGAAGGAGTTGTTGCTTATATGAATGGTTATGATAGAGATGGACACCCTGTTTGTTACAATGCTTATGGGGTTTTTAAAGATAAAGAAATGTATGAAAGAATCTTTGGAGATGAAGAAAAATTGAAAAAATTCTTGAGATGGAGAGTTCAAGTTCTTGAAAGAGGAATTGAACAGCTACATTTCAAGCCTGGTGGAATTAATTCCATTATTCAGGTAATCAGGGGCGGAGCTAGTAGTCCGTATGTGGGTTTCACTTAAAATTGTCATTATAAAATTTAAAATCCATAAAGTTAAAATCGTAGCTTCGCCTTTGCAGGTAACTGATCTCAAAGATATGCCTAAGAGAGAACTAAGGGTTGCTTCAAATCAGATTTTATCTCTTTTTCAAGACAATTACCCTGAAATGGTTGCTCGTAAGGTGAATCTTTTCTTTTCATTTTGAGTAAAAATCTCATCTTTTTACCTCCATAAATTGTCTTTTAACTTTTTTTTTATTTTAGATATTTATCAATGTGCCATGGTACTTCAGTGTGTTGTATTCAATGTTTAGTCCATTTCTGACTCAAAGAACCAAGAGCAAGTTTGTGATAGCCAAGGAGGGAAATGTTGCTGAGACATTATACAAGTGGGTATTTTTATTGCATTATAGTACTAATTAATTGTTGGTTTAGAGATATAAAAAAAAAATTTCTTTTTTTTTTTGTCTTTTTTGCTGTCTGTCTTGGTATAATGATCTTTGAAATGCTTCTATTTTGTTTGTTTCTTGATTTTCTTAATAATTTGAGATTTGATTATTCTAAAATTTCGAAACATTTGTTGTGATCAGATTCATAAGGCCTGAGGATATACCTGTTCAGTATGGTGGATTGAGTAGACCTACTGATTTACAAAATGGCCCCCCAAAACCAGCTTCTGAGTTTACTGTCAAAGGAGGAGAGAAAGTCAATATTCAAATTGAAGGCATTGAGGTGCATTATTGCTTCTCTCATTCTTTTCCTACTTTTGGTTTATTTTGAATATCAGATTCAATTATTATTTGTGTCAAATTTTGAAATTACAGCTTCACTACTCTAGCTGTACATAGGATACTCAATAATTTAACCTTCTAATTAAAGTAGATCCCACATGGGGTCATTTTTAATGATGTTACATTATGCCTGTCTTAATGTCCTTGACCATGCTTTCACACTATATGCTCGTGTGATTAAACAAGGATCAAAGAAGAGTTCAAGAAACAAAGCAAAACTTTTTACTATATATCAAAAGTTCAAATAAAACCTTAATTGTCTTGAAAATGTAAATGACATTTTTGCGGCCTTAATAGGGAATTATTAAGGGTAATACAGAAATGTATCATTTTCTCACTTGAGCTGACGGTCTATGAAAAATAGTCTTTCTATGTTCGAATGGTAGGGGCACGACTGCATACACACCACCCTCCCCAGACTCCACATGTGGGATTACGCTGAGTATATTATTGTTGTTGTTGTTCTCAATGGACTAAAAGGGAAATAGTGTTGTGTTGTTGATATGTTTGGTTAAGGTATTTGAGGATGTTATTGAGTGGTTTTGAATATTTGAAACAGGGTGGTGCAACAATAACATGGGATATTGTAGTAGGAGGATGGGACTTGGAGTACAGTGCAGAATTTGTACCAAATGGTGAAGGCAGTTACACCATTGCTGTGGAGAAACCAAGGAAAATTGCAGCCAATGAAGAGGCAATTCACAATTCATTCACTTCAAAAGAAGCTGGAAAAATGGTGCTTTCTGTAGACAACACTGCCTCTCGAAAGAGAAAAGTTGCAGCCTATCGATACATCGTCCGCAAATCTGCAACTATTTCAGCCTAAAATGAAGCAAATCTATGGTTTTTTTTTACTCGCTTTATCTAGGAGTACCTTGTTTTTACATTTTGTTGATGAATGTTTGGGCAAGTTAGTAGTAATATGTTATGTGATAGTGCCCTAGTATGAATGATATGAATGTATAAATGGTGGTATTATATTGCTTATTAGTACTACTAAAACTAATATGAAGTGAAAAAGCATTAATTAACTTTGCTAATATATGGATTACCACTTCCACTTGATTTGTGGAAGTTATTATAAAATGTTGTGTTGTTAAGGGTCAGTGGCTTTTTTTGAAATTTTGTTGAGATGTAGTGTGTTTTTGCAGATGTGGGTCAGTTGGTAAAGACTTTAGAGAGCAAAATGTCTAGATTTGAAAAGGAATTGAGTTGGTGTGTTGTGTTCTTTTTTGTTGAAAAAAATTCAGTTTTATGGTCAGGCATGCTTTTTTGGGAAGTGTAAAAGAAGAATACTTTGGGGCAGGAAAGAGTGGATGTGGACTGAACTCTGGAGTTTTCCTGGGGCCATATCATATGGCAAGATTTTGGATGAAATTATTAAAGCAGACTAGTGGGGTCAATAATACTAATCAGACACAGGGAGAGACTCTGCTTCTCTTGTCTCATACTTGTTATAATTCAAATTTATTGGAGCTCTAGCAAGGATTAGGTGAATTTCACATTATAGTAGTTATATAAGGACAAATATAACATAATCTATCGACGACAAGGGTTGTACTGGAGTGGTAAGCACTTCTATATCCTTAATCAGATGTTTGATCGGGTTTTAAATTCCTCTTAGTACGGAGTTGCCTTTTTTAGAAAATGTTTTACCTCTCAACAGGTATAACAAAAATTAAGAGTTTGGGGATTCTAAATTTTAGGACAGAAGAGAAAAATATTGTAAAACATACTTTGTTATTTTTAAAAATGATTTTTTTTTTTGTTGATAGTGAGTTCGAACCAACAACATTAGTGTGTAAAGCATTTCCAGAGCCTCTTCCTTACCATTGAGTCTTCAATTAATTTTGTTAAGGATCGCACAAGTTAATATACATATATATTTATTTAATTTTCTAATTTCTAATACAAATACAAGATTTGTGAAAAAGTTACTGGGTTCGTTCGAACCCACAAACTGCCACTTAGCTCTGCCCCTGGCCCCAATGTGGGACTTCTAGCGCGAATTCAAATTTAGTTTCAGTCGGGCATGTTCATAAACTATTTTTTATATGTCGAAGATATTTTTGACCCCTTTTTTTTGTGTGTATATTATTCGAATTAATAGTGAACATCAATATGTATAGTATTTCACTATTTTGGGTGCAGGCTGTGCAAAGCTGAGTTGCTGTTACTCTTCTCTGTTTGTTTTTGGGTTACTGCAATGATATGATGCTGTGTATGGCTTGGCTGTTTTTGATCTAATGAACTCTTTATGTTTGCCTTATTCTATTGTGTTACAGTGACTTTCAACAGACTCGAGGTTTGTCAGTTTTTGCCATAGGTTTTCTCTAATTCATGATTTTTTTAAAAATAACTTTTTTTACTATTATAAGCTAAAGATGAAAAGAGCAAAAGAAAATCATTTAAATTTCAATCAAGTCTTGTGAGTGTGAAACAGTAAAAGTTTCACGTGAAAGTAACATACGTAATATGTAAAACTCATTAAATTCTCTTTCAAAATTGGTCATCATATTGAATGTGTCCACCTCTTCACAATCCTTCTTTAAAGATTTTAAGGTACATTTGTAGCTCCATACTTTTGTGAACTTCTTTAGATAACTATTTTTGTGGATAATGTTAAGAATGAACAAATACTATAGTCTATAGGTATGCTTTTGGTATTATTCCTTTTAATGTAATGCAAAGAATTAGATAATATTTTGTAACTCTGAATAATTAAATTTGTGTAATATTTCTAAGTTGAAAGTATATGTGGAGTGAAAGAATTAAGTTACTTTTTCATAAGTGGTTTATATTTATTTAAATGTCGGTTTCTTAATTTGTAACTTCTTAAGTGAAAAAAATATTAGCTTTTGAGAAGACTTGAATTTATTTGTCTTTATGACAATTTTTTCATTATAGCAAGATTATCGTTTCATTATATTAACTTCATTTAGCTTCTTACGTTTTTCTGATACATAAACGTAGATGATGTGCCTATTATATTTTTATGAGCAATCATTGTTTGCGAACTTTAATTTTCAGCTAAAAGTGCACGTGTTTAGGCGTGTTGTGGAACATTCGAGAGTGACCGGCCTAAACGATTTGCACCCTAGTAAAGTTATAATCGTTTTCAAGGAAGTGACTTGTCATGGCATAATATTTGTTTGCTAAGTTAATTTTGTTTTCTTGTTGGTTGTTCATATTATCATATAATATTGAGAAAAAAGACAAATATATCCCTGAACTATCATAAATGATATCTAAATACCCTTTGTTATACTTTTAGGACACTGATGTCCTTACCGCTAATTTTTGGGGTGTATATATCCTTTGGACTAACGGAGGGACACGTGTTTCGTTCTTAAAGACCTACCCGAAATTTATTTATTTTTTACCCATAATTAAAGAAACCCACCCAACTAAGTAAATATCCACCCAAATAACTAAGATCCTACCCAAATTATAACCCAAAATCTTCATATGCCCATTTCTAAAATAAAAAAAAAATCATTCCTAAAAGAATTCAGATCTTGATACCACAAACCACATCATACATCTCAAAGGAAAAGCAATACACTGAAGCATGTCAAAGAATCAAATCGGAAACAAAATTAACATCAATAAACTTTCAAATTCCAAGGAAAAAAATAATCAAATTTAGGGTAACAACTCACTATACTTCAATCAACAAATTGCATGCCCTAATATCTTAAAGAAGTAATGGAACACTTTGAAGACCAAATTGATGAAAATATCAAAACTTTCAACAATATACTATCATCAGGTCAGATAAAAAAAATCCATCACTAAATTAGAAGACAAATTCAAAAATCAAAATGCTCCCAAAAAAAAAAAAAACTGAAGTGGGCACTTGAGGTCTAGATTGATGAGAAGATTTGAACTTTGTCAGAATCTCAGTCAACTTGAACACTTTAATTTTTGCCTAGATTTATTTCCATAGCAGTTGAAGCAAGACACCTCAGTTTTTTCACTCAATAACATCAACAAATCATTTTGAATCAAGGAAATGGATTTTCCTACATTATACCCCGATGGAGTTCTTCTTTTTTGCCGTTGCTGAGACCGATTTTTTTTTTCCCTTTATGTGTGATTCCGTTCAGATTAAAATGTCTCTTGAAATCTGATATATGGTCTGATTTAGGAAATTATATGGGTAATGAAAGTGAAGATTTTTGGGGTGTTTTTGGATTATAATTTGAGTGTGGGTTTCAAGTTATTTGGGTGGGTTTTGAATTTTTTGGGTGGGTATCTTAATCATGGGTATAAATCAAATAAATTTCGGATAGGTATTTAAGATTGAGACACATGTTTCTCCGTTAGTCCAAAGGGTATATACACCCAAAAATTAGACAGTAAGGGCATTAGTGTCCTAAAAATATAACGGAGGGTATTTAGATAACATTTATAATAGTTCGGGGGTATAGTTATCCTTTTTCCCTATAATATTTATAAATGATTATTTCCTTGAACAAAATGATTCTTGATCCGTCAATGCTTGAGCATTTAGACGAAAACAATTTTAAATGCCGGTCACATTTTTTTAATTTTATTTGAACAATTAGAAGCTAATTACATTTTGTTTACCTTCTATTGATTATTTTAATAATATTTTAGATGTTGCTTACGCTATTACTGTTCTAGCACTCATGTGGTTGTTGATGATAATGCTAAAGAGAAGTTTAAAATAAATAATAGAACTGTTAGGAGACATTTGTTGAACAATATGATTAATTCTTTATTTGATTTATTTGTTATATATAAAACAACTAAGAAAATATGAGGCAATGTGATTTATGTTTTTGATGTTGACGATGCCAAAAAGAAAACATATAGTGTTGGACAATGATTTTAGTTTCAGATGATTAATAATAAGTCAATCGTGAAACAAGTTCTCAGGTATGCAATGTAACATTCCAAAAATAATTTCTAAGCTAAGATTTGAACTATTCTTCATATGTGTATAATATTGTATTGTGTGATTCTTAATTGTGCATATGTATTAAGGTCAATTATTTAGTGTGAGAAGAGATTTGGAGATGAATTAAGGTCATAAGAATCCTCTAGCACAAAGTTGAGTTGAAATCTTTCTTATCGATTGAATTTCGATATAAGATTTTACTTGAGTCAACTTCAAACGATCTCATATGAAGAGTTAGGTGACTCGTAGCCTATCAAATTAAAGCTATGTGAGTTCTTTCTAACGTTGCCAAGTTTGCATCAATCGAAATTTGGAGTAAAAAATTATGACTGATTTACCAGGGACGCTCCAACCTGGCGGGCAGGTCCACAATACAGAGAGAAAGCGGACCTCACAGGTCTCTTGATTAAAATTTCGTCTTCAACTTCAATTAATTTTATTTTTTGTGTTTTTGTCCTAAAAACTATTGGGGAGTTATCTATATGACTAAATTAGTTTTTCATAACTAAACCCTCTCATTCTCTCATAAACTTCAACGCACAAGAATTCTTCTAGAAACACCAAGTTAAGGTTCTTCATCAAGGTAAGCCCTTCTCTAAGAATTTCAAATTTTCAAACTCAAGTTCCTTCATATATTGACGGATCATTAAAAGAAATCTTAACCCTTGACAATAGGGTTTTCAAGAAACTAATTCAAGAATTTCAAGAAAAATTTCTTCATCGTTCTTTTTCAAGGTTTGTGGAGCTTTTAAGGTATGTAAGACTATCATGGTGAGGAACTAAGTTCTCCCTCATGCCCTACATCTACAATTTTAGTTAGTAAGATCAAAGCCAGGGTTTTTATCCCAAAGTTTATTATGTTCGAAATTTTCTCTACATTCTCATTGTCGATTCTTGATTTTCTATCAAAACTATGGTACTTCATATTATTGATGATTGTTACTTTATGGTTATTACTTAGTATAGCACGTGAACTCTTTCCAGCTAAAAGCTGCTTGGAGACCTTGTCTTAATAATTCATATGCATCATTTTCATGAGAAAAGTAAGTTTCAAGATTTTAAAGAAGTCTTTCAAGAAAGAGGTCAAGAAAATATATCTTTTTTTCTTGAAGT